GAGAGAATATATTTTAAACATTCTTTTTCTTACCAACTTTTTTTATTCCCTAGGCAAATAGTTTGAGAGCTGTTAAACTTTCCTTTCATAAGATGATAAATAATGTCATCTGTGATCCCCAGTTTTTATACTGCATACTTCTTTTCTTGACTTAGTGCATTGGCTACATATGCCATTACTATTTCCAAAAGAAATGATAAAAATAGAAGCCCTTGCTTGTGTTCTTGATGTTAGGAGAAAAATATTTTGACTTTCACTATTAAGTATAATGTTAACTGTAGATTTTTCACATATGCCCTTTATCAGTGAGGAAAATTTTTTCAAGTCCTAGTTTTCTGAGAGTTTTCATCATGAATAAATTTTGAAGTTTGTCTAATGGTGGTTTTTTTGTATTTATTGAGATGGTCATATCATTTTTCTCCTTTGCTCTGTTAATGTAGAAAATTACACTAATTTGTTTGAATGTTGAGCCAACCTTGTATTCCTGAGGTAAATGTCATTTGGTTGTTATGTGTTATTGTACTTGACATGGAAATGTGCCACCCAGATCTTCAGAGGTTGACCTTGGATGCTATCTGCTGATCTCACTCCCTGCAGGTGGGCAGCAAGTGTTTTTCTGAAGGGAAATCCCAATAGACAGACATTAGAACACAGAATAGTTGCAACACAATTTGGTTGAGGATGGAGGTGAAGCAAGGATAAGGGAAAGAGTGAGCTCAGCTTTGTCTACCTATGCCCACCAGCTCCTTTCTACCAGCAACCAGCTAATTAGATTGAAAAAGCCCTGATAAGAGATTATGTAAGGCTAAGTTACATGAGTTATTACTACATAGTTGACTTCATCTACACAAGAGGGTAATATATGTCAGTTCGTGTTATAAGTGGCTCTGAAAAAATGTTTATATTGTTGATAAACTAAAATATAATGACTCTGTTTTCCCTCTGAAGAACAATGAGCACTTTCCTAGTGAGAATCAATGCTTGATTGTACTGAAGGTTGAAGACTTTCAAGTTTGATCATAGCTAGTTGTTCTTTCATTTGCTTTGTTGACATAAGTGCTTTCTTTTATTTTTACTTAGACAAACTTGAGAGAATTACTTTGAATATTAAGAAGTTGGCTCTGTTTAGAGCCAGATTGTTCATGTCAAGTTGAGAAACTATGCATTGCCTAATCTCACTGTTGCGAAGAATAAAAGGAGCAGCTAAGCACAAATAAGTATCAGAACTCTCTTACTTTTCATGAGTCAGGAACTTATAACAGTTGTCTCATTACTTGGTTTGCAGGGAAGTTAATTCCTACAACTTCAGACACTATAATAACCTGATACAAAAGAGACATTCTAAAACATATCTAAATGATTTTTATACTGAATATCTCCCGGTATTATTTACATCTCTTTCTCATTAGGAAACATCATGGGTTGATTAAATATATATCATTAAATAAATTCTCATTTTCATGCTTTTTTACATAAACAAGCACAAATTTTGTACTATTTTAAAAATATTGCCCTAACCAGTTTTGTTCAGTAGTTAGAGCTTTGGTCTGCAAACTGAAGGGTCTTAGGTTTGATTACGGTCAAGGGCATGTACTTTGGTTGCAGGCTTGATCCCTGACCTTGGTCGGGGCACATGTGGGAGGCAACCAATCATTGTGTCTCCCTCACATCAATGTTTCTCTCTGTCTCTCCCACCCCTTACACTCTCTCTAAAAATCAATAGAGAAAACAACATATCCTCATGTGAGAAGTAACAATTATATATATATATAAATATATATACCATACATATTAATAAATATATATTACGAGGGAATGATGCCATACCATATTAAGTCATCGAAACTATCATTTATACACTTAGTGAGTTGGGTGTGTAAATTTTTATCAGATCATTGTCCTAGTTATCTGTATGATGCCTACTCCTATAGATGTGACTAAATTAATGTCATTTAATTAAACAGTATAATTTGTAAACATTAATCTATACTAATAAAAGAGAAACATGGTAATTAGCATACGACCGCTACCCTTCCCATTGGCTAATCAGCATATCCTTATGCAAATTAACAGTCAGCCAAGATGGCGGCCGGCAGCCAGGCAGCTGGAAGCAAACATGAGGCTTGCTTGCTCCAGTGACTGCAGACTCCAACGTTCCCCGCCTGACTTGCTGGCCTCTGAGCTGCAACTCTAAGAAACATTGTAACAAATATAGAAGCTAAACAAAACCCCAGAAACCAGCTTTCAGCCGGCCGGGATCTCAGAGCTGGAGTTATACATTGTTTCGATTATAGAATGCAAACAAACCAGATACCTGCTTTCAGCAGCGGAAGCCTCAGAGCTAGAGCCAGAGCTAAAGCTGGCCCAGAATAAAAAAAAAAAAAAGAAAAGAAAAAAAGGAGTGGTTGGGAGCTTCAGTCAACTGCCAGCCTGAAAGCAGCCCTCAGCTCCTCAACCAGACTGGCCAGGCACCCCAGTGGGGACCCCCACACTGAAGGGTGTGTGACCAGCTGCAAACAGCCATCATCACCTCATCCAGGCTGGCCAGGCACCCCAGTGGGGACTCCCACCCTGATCCAGGACACCCTTCAGGGCAAACCAGCCAGCCCCCAGGCCTCTATCCTATATAGTAAAAGGGTAATATGCCTCCCAGCACCGGGATCAGCAGAGCCGCGAGGCCTCCTGGCACCGGATCAGCGTGACAGGGGGCAGGCGCCCAAACCCCCTGATCGCCCTGCAGCTCTGTGTGTGACAGGGTGCGGCGCCCCAACCGCCTGCTAACTCCGATAGTCCCCTGCTCTGCATGATATATTCAGAAGCGTTACTCAACCCAACGTTTCGCTCAGGGGGGGACATGGTGTCCCGTCCCCCCACCCCGCATTAACC